TTCAGCTCCGGCGGAGGGGCAGTGTTGAGATGCGGGGAAGATTGGGCGGGGAAAGAAGCTAGTTTGAAACTGAATAATGCCGCTGACGGTATGAGAATGGCGCGGGTTGGATATTACAGATGTGCCTAAAATGGGCCGTTGAGCCCAGAAAGTGGGGCTAAAATGGGAGAATATTTGAGTCTTTCAAACCCCCAATTTCTAAAACTTTTTGAACTAAGTGTCATTCGACTCATACCAGGCAGTGGCTATGCCACACCATTTCGCTCATTTTGACACGCATCCTCAGTAGCTTCGAAAGCAAAGCACCTGACGCCTCGGTCTCCCACCAATTTGGGTATCTTTTGAAATTGATGGCTAGAAATTCATGGCGAGGTTAAACATTGGGGTTGTCTTTCGTCTCTGGATTAATCTTCAATTATGGAAGTTGCTCATGCACCCACTTCTTCTGACTTCTTTGCACATATCCTGCAAACAAGCGTCAGAATCAGAGACCCATTTGCCGGAAGGTCAGTTCACTCTCAAATAATCAAGAAAGGCCTTCATCTTGGCGTGTACTTGATAAATAATCTTATGACCTTCTATACTAAAACTGGGTCAGTTAGGGATGCCCACGATGTGTTCGATGAAATGCCCATTAAGTCAACATTCTCATGGAACACTTTGATCTCTGCGTATGCTAAACAGGGAAATTTCAATGCGTCGCGTCGCCTTCTGTATGAAATGCCTGATTGCGACCCCGTTTCTTGGACTGCGATCATCGTGGGTTACAATCAATTCGGTCTATTTGATAATGCGATTGGAATGTTTGCGAAGATGATATCCGAGAGAGTCCCGCCTTCTCAATTCACGGTCAGTAATGTTCTTTCTTCCTGCGCGGCAAATCAAGCTTTGGACATTGGTAGGAAGATTCATTCATTTGTTGTCAAACTCGGACTTGGCAGCCACGCTTCTGTTGCAACTTCCCTGCTGAATATGTACGCAAAATGTGGAGATCCGGTTATAGCGAAAGTTGTTTTTGATAGGATGACGCTGAAGAACATTTCAACGTGGAATGCTTTGATTTCATTGTACATGCAATCTGGGCAGATTAACCTTGCTGCTTCACAGTTCGAGAAAATGCCTGACCGAGATATAGTTTCTTGGAATTCGATGATTTCAGGTTATAATCAGATAGGGTATGATCTTGAAGCACTGAATATCTTCTCGAAGATGTTGTATGAATCTTCTTTAAAGCCAGATAAGTTCACCTTGGCAAGCGTTTTATCAGCTTGTGCCAATCTTGAGAAGCTGAATATTGGAAAACAGATACATGCTTATATTCTAAGAACAGAAACTGAAACTTCTGAAGCAGTAGGCAATGCTTTGATATCAATGTATGCAAAGTCAGGTGGGGTAGAAATAGCTAGACTGATTATTGAGCATAACAGGACTTCAAATCTAAACATTATAGCGTTTACTTCCCTACTCGATGGATATACCAAGCTTGGAGATGTTAAACCAGCCAGAGAGATATTTAACAAATTAAGAGATCGTGATGTGATAGCATGGACAGCTATGATTGTTGGTTATGTGCAAAACGGGTTATGGAACGAAGCGTTGGAACTGTTTCGGTCGATGATTAACGAAGGCCCTGAGCCAAATAGTTATACCCTGGCGAGCATGCTGAGTGTAAGTTCAAGTTTGGCTAGTTTGGAGCATGGAAAACAAATCCATGCCAGAGCCATAAAAGCAGGAGAATCTTCAACAGCTTCTGTTACTAATGCCTTGATAGCCATGTATGCTAAAGCAGGAAGCATCAATATAGCCAAAAGAGTTTTTGATCTTACTAGCGGGAAGAAGGAAACTGTGTCCTGGACATCAATGATCATGGCTCTGGCGCAGCATGGCTTTGGAGAAGAAGCCATCAGCCTGTTTGAGAGGATGCTCTCAGTTGGTATGAAACCTGACCATATCACTTATGTAGGAGTTCTCTCTGCTTGTACACACGTGGGATTAATAGAACAAGGTCGAAATTACTATAATCTGATGACTGAAGTACATAAAATTGTACCTTCTCTAAGTCATTATGCATGTATGATCGATCTTTATGGACGAGCTGGATTGCTTCAAGAAGCATACCAATTCATTGAAAGCATGCCTATAGAGCCAGATAATATAGCTTGGGGATCGCTACTAGCATCTTGTAAGATCCATAAAAATGCAGATTTGGCGAAAGTTGCAGCGGAAAGACTGCTTCATATTGATCCTGGAAATAGCGGCGCTTACTCAGCTCTTGCTAATGTGTATTCAGCTTGCGGGAAATGGGAAAACGCTGCCAAAACTAGAAAGCTGATGAAGGATAGAGGAGTGAAGAAAGATAAGGGATTTAGTTGGATTCATATTAAGAACAAAGTTCATGCATTTGGAGTTGAAGACGTTATTCATCCACAGAAATATGAAATCTATAAGTTGATGGATGAGATTTGGGAGGACATCAAAAAGATGGGGTTCATCCCAGACACTGAATCAGTGCTTCATGACCTTGAAGAAGAGGTGAAGGAGCAGATTCTGAGATATCACAGTGAGAAACTTGCTATAGCATTTGGTCTTCTGAGTACACCAGAGAACACTGTGCTGAGGATTATGAAGAACCTTAGAGTTTGTAATGACTGCCATTCTGCTATAAAGTTCATCTCCAAGCTTGTAGGAAGGGAAATCATTGTGAGAGATGCTACTCGATTTCACCATTTTAAGGATGGCGCCTGTTCTTGTCGGGACTATTGGTAGCCGTAATCTTAGAGATTTCATCCACAAACGAATACTAGTTGATATGACAAAAACACACACACCAAGCATGAGAAAACCAGGTACGTTCTTCCTCTGTTGCTCGTTTCAAAGTTTGGTTTCATTTTAGAACTCTCCCTAAATCAGCCATACAAATTAGCATATTCTCTCCGTTTTTTTTTTTTTTTTTTTTTTTAAACATAAGTTCTACCTTGACTGCAGAACATCCATTGCTGAAACCAGTAGTGGGTTCATCTCAAAAGATAGCTACCATGGATTTTCATGGTTCATCTCTAAATTCTTAACTAACTAACGTGTTTTTCCTTCAAACTTTTAAAATTTGAATCACAGCCTGCCTACATTTATTTACATTTATATCAAAACTGTTGTCTGGTAGTGTTGTGTGATTTAAAACCGTGAGATTTTATCTGTCGCATAATCTGTTGAAGTGAAAGGGAAGGAAGCATTCCTTATAGGGGTGTGGAAATCTCATCCTTGCAAAGATTTTTTAAAACATACTTAACGTGCGAAAGTGAGTGGTGGATAATATTCATTAGCTGTTGGCTTGGACGGTTACAAAAATAATGAATTTACAATGAAAACTAAAAAACTGTAAATTTGAATTAAAATTAAGATCCATAAATTAAAAGTAGCTAATAATTTTATTTTCTATTTTTTCTAGATTATAGTGATTTGTATATCCCATTGGAAAGGGGAAAATGCATAGAAGTCCGTTCTTTTTTATATGACACATCATATTTATATATTTATGATCTTGTAGGACCAGTATTACACATCATTAATGGTTATGAACGGGAGTTGTCATCCTTCCAAGAAGAACACGGATAATTGGGCCAGGAATGGGCCTGGGTTAGGAAAGGCCCATACCACGGCCTTGCTGCAAATATAATCTCATCGGGTTTTTTGTTAAATTAATTAGATCCTTTCATTATTATTAATTTATTATCGACGACGTCTTGTTTTTATTTTATTTTATTTTATGATTTGAATATTTTTGGTCTGAAGATAGAGTTGTTGAGATGCTTAAAGTTGGAAGGCATATTAAATTTAAAACATAGTTTAAAAGAGGGGGAAAGACGACGGAGACTTTAGGGAAAAAGACAATTTTCGTTGGAGGAAGGGTGGTATGTAATAAATGGAAAAGGCCGTTGCTGAAAAAGTAAAAAATCAAAAATGAAAGGACCAAAGGGAAAATTGATGAGAAGAGTTATCCGAACCCACACCTGTCCATTGAGACTCATTGGGCAGCTTAAAACGCGGACTTTTTTACAAGAGTACGACGCTGCCCGATCTGCCCGATACCGGTCTGGAAAATTACGGGCAGTCGGTCTCCAGTAATCGCTCTCGCTTCTCTCACTTCCCACCTCACCCCCTCAGCCCACCCTACCCTTCCCTCCCACCCTTCTCTGAGAGCCGCCGATAATTCTATATCTTCGGTTCTCTGTGTCTTTTCAATCTCGATCGGACGGTCCAGAATGAACGTTGCTTCTTGTGCTTCTTTTCTGTGATTTTGGATCGCGGTACGTCCAGATCTACAATCTCCCTGCTCTGATCTGTCTTCTCGGTACGCTTTACTCTCAATTCTTTGTTGTTTTTTTTCCTGTATCTGTATCTGTTTTGTTTCCTCTATTTGAGCTCGGTCTCTTCTTGTTTTCTGCTTTTTGCTTCATCTTGCTTGTTTTCGTCAGTCTGCTAGTGTTTCGAGGTCGTTTGTGGACGATTTAACTGAATTTTCTCTGGTTTATGGTCGTTTTACTATGAACATAGAGTTTAATTTCTCGTACATCTATGGTTTTTTGTCACTTTTGTGCTGGATTTACCGTTGACTGTATGGACTCTGGAATTTTCGCTTCACTGAAAGTCGACGCGTCTTTGCTCTCAAGAGGATGCGTCAGAAATTTTCCTCTGCTCTTTTTTTTCTTTTTATAAAAAAGGTATTTGAATATTTCCTAAAATGAGCCTTTTTGGATTTATTGCCCATGGTCAAACCCCAGGATAGGCGGTAGAAACTACCAACTCAACGCGGTAGGAAGCTGGTTGAGAGACTGAGAGACAGAATTTCCGGTGGAGTTGGTGTTTTGTCATAATTTTAATTTTTTAACGGCTGTTGAAATTTTTGGGGACAGATCTGACGGCGACCAGCTCTCTCATCAATTTTTTTTTTCTTTTTCCCTCTTTGCCTTTTGATGCATTCGCAGGAAACAGTCGCCGTGCGAATGGAGATAGCAAATGCTTCAGCAGGTGTCACGCTCCGTGATGGCTCACTCGCACGCGCTAGTGAAGGGTTAGCTGCTTTACTAGCTTCGGCTCTGGTTAACACCCAGCTCCTGGCTCAGGCAAGGCACTTTCTAAAGTTTTTTAATTACTCTCTCATTTCTAAGTTCAATCAACCCAATTAATAACTTTTTTTCCTTTTAAAAGAATTTTTTTGGTCGCGATGCTGGCTGTGCTTTCCATAATGGGGGAAAATTATGTTTCTATCGGTTTTTACTGGATGGTTTTGGTGTGTTTCCTTTGGAAGTCCGCTGGCTTTGGCCAACTGTTTGATGTTGGCGACTTCGGCTGAGCTTTAGTCGGTAGAGTAAGCTGTAGCCTATGTAGAATAGGTGTGAAAATATCCAATAGGCATCCACCCACTGCCACTCCTTCATTTGGCTTAAACTGATCCCCATCGTACGGCTATGATTAGATTATTTTGGTTGATTTTTTATTAAAAAAATGTTTATTTTTTCAAAATTATGATGTAGAAAGTTTTATACTGTTTTCTTTTTCTAGGAAAAGTGGGGAGTTCTCGAAATCACTGTAATCACGCGTCTTGGGCTTCTTTTGGATTTATCTTTCCCCCTACTCTTTTTCTATCAGGACATCATCTCATTGACCCCACTTGATGGGTTTCGGTGAGGTGTGGTCCAAAATTTACGGAAATGCCCTCACACCGACGACTTGAATAACACGCCATACCCTTCTTTTACTTCCACTTCATTTCAGTGGTTGAGGATACACTATTGATGGCTCGCAATTTCAACTTGAATTACAGAATTGCCGCTAGATTTATTCAATCTGATGGGAAATTTCAGTAAACAGTTGAAAGATATGGAGAATCTCCTTTTTGTTGGAATATTAAGATCTGGACTCGGGCTCGAATTATTCTTGGAGTATTGTGACTTTTATGAGGATAGTTGGATTAGGAATCAATCTTAATACGTGGTTTCGAGTGCCCCAAAGAATCATATTTTTGAACCTTCCCATGTCTATTTCTTACTTGATAGTACCCCGCAAGTTGTGATTGGGAAGTGTATTCCTTTCCCATCGTCCTCCTGCTTTCTGCTTCTTAATGGTGTGGATGCTATTTCTGACATCCAATTGATGTTGCCAATTCAACTTAGTGGGTAATTCAGACGTTAAAGCTAGTCCTATGACGTTGGTTGGTGAACAGATTCCGACAAGAAAAGACGGTTTAAAATAAAATATGCTAAAAAATAAGAAGTGGAGGAGGTAATAGTAAAAAGCAGAGATTGCCAAATTGAAGGACTGAGACTCGGGGCAGGCTAACAAGATGCTAGGCCCTGGCAAGCAACAGGACCGTTCTATTCATTTCTGTTAACACGCCCCATTGTAGTCTGTTAGAAATTATAAATAATAAATCCTTATCACTACTAGTCATCAAGTTTTAAAATTGTAAAAAGAAACGAACCAGATTAATTGTGTCGTATGACTCGCAATTTGACTTCTTAAATCGTATATAAACTTGGCTTATAGAAAATTTGTCTTGTTTTTAGCATTATTGTTTATTGGTTTCATTAAAATATGTTGCCTACCATGTTGAATTCTTAGTTATAAGGAACTTAGAAATTGATTCTGTCCTTGTATGGTTTCTATGTCTGTTTCTCTTGATGGTAACAACCATTTGCAAGTGATACGGTTTATGACATGCTTAACCTCATGAACTATTGTACTTCTTGGAAATATTGTTGCAGGATCCCCTTGGGGCGTTTCTGATCAAACCTGGAATGAAAGGAGATAGTCCCACCCAGTGCCCATCACCCCCACCACTTGATGCTGAAGGTGACGACGATGACGACGATGATGGGGATGGCGACTTAAGTGAAGGTGAAGGTGACGAGGATTTATCATCCGAAGATGGAGATGACTACGCCAACAACCTTAACGACAATAGTAAAAGTAATTCAAAGAAGACTCCCGAGGGCGGAGCTGGTGGGGCAGAAGAGAATGGGGAGGAAGAAGAAGAGTTTGACGGGGAGGAGGATCAAGATGATGATGGTGATGACGATGATGATAACGATGACGGTGACGATGACGACGAAGATGACGACGGTGATGACGATGATGATGGTGGAGAAGACGAGGATGAAGTAGCAGACGAGGATGAAGATGAGGAAGAGGAGGACGAGGACGAAGATGAGGAAGCACTCCAGCCTCCCAAGAAGAGGAAGAAGTAAAATTAGAGAGACGAAAGAAACGACTTAGACACTTTTCATATGTAGCTTTGTTCCCTGACTTCTTGGTTCTTTTCTTTTTTAATTTTATTTTAGCTTCTTGAGGACGTTTGTTAGGATGTGTTCCAACTTCCAAATTAGTAATTATGTCTCAACTGAATGATTTTAGAGTACTTCTGAACTTCTTTTTGCTGTGGCAGCGATAAACGGCGATTAGTTCCAATGCTTTAATTTATTTGGCTATTCCACTCCTGTTTATACTTTATATTAAAATAAAAATAAAATAAAATAAAAAAGTCCCTACTTCGTGTTAGTTTTCTTAAAATAACTAAAAGTTGTAATCAAACAATAATATTTCCAAATATTTGGAAGAATGACAAATTAAAGAAGTCCACCCTTAATATATATAGTCTGTTTTGGTCCGTTACATATCGTCGTCAGCTTTGACGGTATGTTTTGGCCCGTTACGCTCACAGTTTTAAATACATGTGTTAGATAAAGGTTTCCATAGTTTTATCAAGAAAGTGTCCGTTACGCATATTCGTCAATAAAAGTTTTCATAGTCTTATCAAGAAAGTTTCATTCTCATTTCTAACCGATTTCACACTAAATTTTATGTTATGAATTAGGAGGTGTCTTATTTGAATTAGTCACGGAAGAATTGAGGAAGTGTGATTAAATTGTGATTTGATATATGAAATATGATTGGAGGAAGACAAGTTAGGTCGCAATGGAGAAGGCTGAGGCCATTTTGGGAAGAACGACATTCAACCACTTTCTGGTCTCCACTTGTAAACCCTCTTGCTTTCTTCTTGCTTCACCAAAATTATTCTCTCACAGCTTCTAAATCCTCTGGGGTACCCTCACGAAGGTGGAGACGGCATTTACATGGACACGGGTCATTTCTTCTTCATGTTCTACTAATTCCCTCCACTCTTTCCGCCCATTTTCTGTGTTTCCCGTTTTTTAATTCCCAATGGCGGGTCAACCGTCAGATTCTTCCCCTCTTATTCCACCGCCTCCGATCAGCGACCCCAGTGAGATCGACCTCGAAGCCGGCCAAGGGGAGCAAATACAATGTAGAATTTGCCTCGAGACCGATGGTAATTTGCCGTTCCTTTGTTATTCAGTTTTTGCTAGGTTTCGACTATTTTTCCGACGATGCTTGATGGGGATTGTTTTCATTTGGTCATGTTCGACATTTTCCTTCGGAGAAATTAACGAAGGCAGCTAATTTTTTTTCCGCTTTCTTTATACTGATGTTAATTAGAATGATCGTCCAGTCAATTGGCTCAATGCAGCGTTTTAGGCACAGTTCTTTGAACCCTAGAACAACATTATTCTAAATTCAAGGTGTGTTTTCTAATGATCGAAAATTTCTTTCACTACGGTGAAACTTGAAGTTAAATTAGGTTCTTCGATGTTAAAATTTTGTTAAATTGACCGTTTGTAGGGCTGTAACGAGCTATGTTTAACCATTGCAGTCCCCTCCCCCCTCCCCCACTTGGCATTTGTACTTTCGAATTCTTTGGAGTTGGCTGATCATTTAAAGTCTTGTTTAACGGTATGAGACGGCCGTATCACATAGGGATCATTCTGTAGGTGTTTGATCAGGGGAGTATTTTAAATTGACCAATGTGCGTGTTTCATTAACTAATCAGGTAGGGATTTTATTGCTCCGTGCAAATGCAAGGGGACGTCAAAGTATGTTCATCGAGAATGTCTGGATCATTGGCGGGCTGTGAAGGTATGAATGATATCTGACTTCTTATACTTCTGTAAATTTAACTCAGGCATGTTGGTGTTCTAATGTTGTTGCCAATATTCATAACTTTAGTGCAAATGCTGTCTAAATATAGTAATAGTGAACTATTATATTCCTGGTTGTAGCTGGCATTTGTACCGTCTTCTATTAATTAGAATCATACATCCTAGGTGATTGGCAATTGTGTTTGCTCTTAATTGTTACTCCCTCCCTCTCCACTCCCCCCCTGTCCCCTTGATACCTCTGAATGTTGGTAAAGAAGCAGAAGTTGGTAGACATTTTCCTAATACCGTTCATTTTGAAATATTGATTGTTGTTGGTAGATCACCTTAATGAATATATTTTGCTCACCTTCATGACCAAGTCCAGCCTTGTCAAGTGATTGTTAATCAACCTTTCATTGTTTAAGAGATTAACTTACATTTTGGCATTATTATCTCTTTTTTCTTTGCAGCAGCATTACTGAAATTTCATTTTTTATCACACGCATAACTATAGTTTAGGGTCATCAACGAAATAAAGAATATTACTACTCTTGGGCGGTATTTATATCTGCCTATGCCTGTAATATAAGCCTAGTATTTACAGTCTCATTTTTATTCTCTTAGACCGGTCCTATGCTTATCTAGAAAAAAAAAAAAAAAAAAAAAAAAAAAAAAAAAAAAAAAAAAAAGGAAATTCCTATAGTTATCATCGAGTTACATTTGATCATTCGTGATTAAAATTGCAGGAAGGGTTTGCTTTTGCTCATTGTACCACATGTAAGGCCCCTTACCACTTGAGAGTACATGCTGTTGCTGACAGGAAATGGCGAACCCTGAAATTTCGATTTTTTGTGACTAGAGACATTGTATTTATATTTTTGGCGGTTCAGCTTGTAAGTTTTATGTTTTCTATTCAATTTGTTGCAAATCAATTTATGTTCTAGCAGTTGATTATACTTGTGTGTAATATTTATCTTTGTGCAGGTAATTGCTTCTCTGGGATATTTGACGCATTTTGTAGATGGTTTTCAACATTACTGGCTTCGTCTTACGTGGGGTTTTGATAACAAAATTAGTTTTTATTACATATGTGGTAAAATCTCAATAAGCTGATTCAAGATTTGCATGCATAATTTATGTTATAACAGTAGGGCGTAAGCTTGTTTGGCTTCAGGCAGTTTGGCTTAGTCGCCTTGTTTGCTGGTCTGTTTGGAGTGCCTCTGACTTTGAACTGTTCTCATCAAAAGAACTTTTAGCAGAAGATCGTCGATGACAAAAAATAATCTACTTGTTTAATTCTGACATTTTAAGTACTTTTACTTTAGTTAGAACGAGGTCCCTTTATTCTTTCTTTAATTAGTATTTTAAGAATTGATAAGCTACCAGAAGGGATGTATCTAAAGTTGCAAAAAAATATGATACGCAAGAAGAATTGTTGAGAGAGGTTACGTCTGTATAGAGAAGTTAACGGCGAGAGGAAGTATGAGCTGGATGGGTGTTGGGAGTATGGAAAAAAGGTTAGTGAGATAAAGTCTGGCGATAGAAGGGAAAGTTCTATTTTTTTCGTTTCATAGAAACTAATGAAAGTGTGAGGGTACAGAACAACAGCTTAAAAGAATGTTCTCATTACATGATCGCATGTTTTGATTCATGTTGTTGAACCCCATAAGAAGGAAGTATTGAATGGTTTATGGCCTTTTACTGTAATCATAATAACAGTTTTATATTTTATCTACTTGAACATCGCCTATAAATTTTATTTCTATGCAGGAGCTTTATTATTTTTTGCATTGCTCGGCTTATCTGGATGCTTCATCACTTGTTATGATCGGAGAGTTAGGAATGATTTGGCTCAGCCATGTAGAGAATTGTGTCTATGTTGTTGCCACCCAGGGTATAAATCTATTGTTTCACAGTTTCTTTTGGCTTTATGTTCAAAATTATTATTTCCTTATCATAAAAATTCTTGTTGAGGAGTTTAGGCTCGTTCTTTAAGGTATGACTCATGCAGTGATGTTTCTCTAACTCAACTGATTTTTCTCTGTTCTGCTTCCCGTCCAATTGTAATTGAAAGAATATTGATGAACCGTAGTATAGAATATTTGACATTTAGCCAAGCTGGGAATTCATTCAAGCTTTGTTAGAATAATGACAAAATACCTTGTCCAAGTTCTTTATATCTTTCTCCATCAAATTATAGAGTTTAAATGTTGGAAATGTTTTGCAAAAATAGTACTTTTAGGTTATTCAGCATTCTCGTGTTTTTTATGTGTTTTCTTATATCTTTGCAGACTATGTGCTGACTGTCATTTGCCTGGTACTCTTTGTATGTGGACTGACTGCACCACTTGCTTCGAAAGTTGTGGAAGCATAGCAACCGAATGTGGATGCCTAGGAGGTGCTGGTGAAGCAGGACTGCCATTATTATTTATAATGGCCTTGATTGTTCTTGGTTTGTTCACAGTCATTGGTATCTTCTACAGCGTCTTGGTAGCTACCATGGTTGGACAACGAATATGGCAACGACACTATCACATACTTGCAAAAAGAATGCTTACAAAGGTGAGTTGGCTGATCTCTTTTGAGCTGCGTATGCGCATAACTGTCAATGATGCACTGATCTAGGAGGGTAAATACTTGAATATGGCTTCTTTTTTTTTTCTATATAATAGACTAACTGTTGAAATAAACAGAACCAACTGGATTAGGGTGAGTTTGAGATATCATTTTGAAAAAGTGTTCTAAAGTGGAGCTTTTATTTTGTAAGCAAAAGTGATTAAACGTTTCATCTAAAAGCTCTTTAAGCGCCTTTTATCTACTTTTAGAAATTTTCAAACTACTTTGATTACCAAAAAAATTAAAAGTGTTCTGCATTGGTCAGAACAAAAGTGCTCTTAAAATTTTTGCTAAACCCTATCCAATTAGAAGGGGAAAAAAAAAAATCTATTCGTCTTCCAAACACGTCCCTCAAAAAGGAATGCAAAGTCAACATCATTGATGGAGGTGGGTGCCCCCAAGCACATTCATATTCATATTCATGAGGTCTGTCGTATTAATCAGTGGGTAGGATAATGTTGGACATGACCTTCATCTTTTGGGGAAGAAAGGATAACGGGAGTGTGGGGGACACTAATGGTTCAATATCAAATACTATATTCTGATGGTTGGTTTGATTATGAATCTGCTGTGTTTTTTTTTTTTTTAGGTCCAACCATTCCAGGGTTGGTGATTGAACATCTACCTTTCGATTATAATAATTGCTTTCTTATCCACTATGGTCTCGATTGTGTTTGGGACCATAAATGCTCATTTCTTAATACGTTTTGATTCCTCTCAGGAATATGTTGTGGAAGATGTAGATGGGGAGATGACAGGATCGGAGTGGTTACCTCCACCACTTCCAGCTGAGCACGTTCAACAACTGAAAAATCTTGGCCTTTTATGAAATGAAATGGGTCACTCTTCATATTCCCCCGGAAGAGTATATCTGTTCAAAGCCTGAACTGACCATAATGCTTTTGCTTCTCACTTGCAGATCTTTAATTCGGACCAAGAAAGTCCCATACGTATACACATAATACTTAGCCTCTGCATTTCGTCTGTATGGTTAGACTGCCTAGTTTTTATCTTTTCAGTGTGAGAAAATGGCAACGAATTTGAATACCCACAGTGAAAACTGACAGTCTAAAGCTATATTAAAGTGTTTTTGTGAATTGACTGCTCTTTTACTTCCTTTTTCCTCTTTGTTTGAAATAATCCAGGGAAAAAAGGTAAATTTTTCTTGTTTTTCATTTTTTTTAAACAATAATTCCGTTTGGTTTTAACTATGAGATGCTAGATGAACACGACTCTTCACAATTGCATAATATTGTCTACTTTGAGTATAAACTTCCATGGTTTTACTTTAAGTTTCTTCAAAATGCCTCGTATTAATAGAGAGACTATTATTTGATTATAAACTCATGATCATTTCCTAAATACGAGACTTTCATCATTCTTACTAATTAGTTGGTAGATGATCAACATCTTGAGCAAATTTTAGAAACAAAATACAGGGAAAGAAAGTAAAATTTAGATCTAAAACTATTCTAAAAGTAATTGATTGAAATTTCTGTATGATTTATGAGAGTCTTGTCATTATTATGATTATTATCATGAATTTAGAAGACTAAAACTACATTAAGTTATTTATATTATATTTAACATAAAAATAACGAAACAAAATACGTGGACTACCACCGACCGCTGCATGTAAACAGCCTGTGATATGGAGCCACGTCTTCTGAACACGAATTAATTATCAATCAATTTTATTATTATTGTTTAAGACGAATAGGAATTAGACACGTATTACTTACATACATCTGACGTGTTAAGCATTGTCAATGATGTGGTTTTCGTTTTGAGATCAAAACCATTTGCTGAGTTTGGCGGTTTTGATTCTCAGAAACCACTTTCTTTTTGCCATTAATTCCTGTACCAATAACAAGAAAACGGGTCCCTAAAGTACCACAGAAAAAGGATAACCACATGCTTCTAGATGATTTTTCCTTTTTAAATTTAATTTTATATCTAATATATTTATTTATTTATTATATTAAAACACGTAAATATTTTCTAAAATTTGATGTCCAATATGTCCATTATATATAATTTAATTAATGTGAAAAGAATAACCAAGGGACATTTTTTTTTTCACCAAAATCCCAAACTTTGTCATCAAGAAATCCTTTATTTTGTAGTATCCAAAAGACCCTTCAATAAAATATACAAATCTATTCATCCATAGAAAAGTGAAAGCAAAATGCCCAAGAAACCAGACTCAGTCACCAGTCCACCTTTTTCATACACTACACCGACTTGTCAGCCTTATCCATAATCATCCCCCGATTTGAATATAAATTATCTCCTCCCACGAAGAGGGCCAACTCAAAATCAAGAGCGAGCTTCGAAAATCATAGCCATGGCGGATATTGCAATTCTTGTTGCAGAGGAATACGAGAGAAGGATGAAGAATCCAAGGCAAGCGCAGGAGATGCAAAAGCTTGAAGATTTGGGTTCTGGGGTTTCCATCTCTGCAACTGCTTCGGCGATTAGGATGAAGAAGATGATGGAAATAGCAAAACAAAATGCTGAGATGACGGAATTCAAATGGGTTTTCGAACCCAAATCCCAAATTGGCCGAGCCGCTTCCACCGGATTCTTCTCCGCCTGAGTTCCTTCCGGCCATTATGTTATATATATTTACTGTAAATCTTCCTCGTCTCGTCTGTCTGTCAGATTTGTACAGTGTTTGTATTCTTATTATACTCTGGAAATGCTTTTGGATTTCGATTGGCCATTTGAATGTAGGAAGAAAGAAGATCGATGATTTGGATTTCAAGAAATCATCGAAAGTTCAAAAGGATGCTTTCTGAATCTGCTATGGTGGATTCACGAGTCGCTGTCCTTTTTTTTTTTTTTGAATCGATTATGATTTGATTGAATACTATATTAACAGTTCAATTCTACAATCTTTTTGAATTAACAGTGTAAATCAAATCGTTCTAAAGTTTCTTACGGTGACAAAATTGATATTTTCATAATATCTTTAGATATTGATATTTCCACAAAATTAAAATCTCCACATTTCTATTGTTATCAATAAATTTAAATGGGTCACAAAGTATCTGTAACTAATTGCAAAAGTGTACTCCCACACAAATTACAATCATAACAATGGACTATTTTGTTATAACTTTTCAGTTATTTACTGTACAAAAAATAACGGTTAATCTTTATATTCATGAACTGTATAATTATATAAATGTTAGACCATCCAGAATGTCCCTTATTTTCAGCACCACACTGAGCTTACAGATAATTGTAGCCGGCAGCTGTCACAACATAGAATGATAGGCATGTTATAAAAGATTCCTTATGATTTTAAAATCCAACGGATATAACAGCTATCAATCAAATCATCAAATCAATTCTATCTTCATCAGAAAATCTAACACAAATTAATCTCAAAATAAACGAGTATAATTCAAAGCACCAAGAAGATAATGGTAAAGTCCAGCAGCCCTGGTTACCGCTAATTTTCATATGGGATCAGTTGCATCTAACCAAACTCATGGCCAAAACAGATGCGCTCTTTTGGTTTGGTACTATTACTCAACAAATGGGATCAGTTGTATATCTACTTTTTTGAATCTGGTATTAAATGTCAAATCTTTTACAATTACCTTTCCCTGCACCACCAGGTCAAGCCTGCTCCCTTTCAACTTATTGCAACTGCCCGACGTACAGAACATTTAGGAGAGGAAATTTTTCGAACTTATTCTCGGGAACAATCCTAAAGACAGTGGGAAGGTATTTGGGTTCACCATATAAAACTTGATTCTGAGAATGCTAAAGTTGTTATTCCTTGAACTACGCCATATAACCTTAATAATACAAGTCACCTGACCCAACCATGGTTCTTAAAAATTGTTTTATCAGACCAGGCTGCTGCTAATTAAGCATGTCCTCAATTTCCCTCATCTTTTGACGTGTGTTCAAGAGTTAGAGAAGGATTGAAGAAAATGGGCAACACAAAAACACATAAGATTGGGGCTTAACTACAGAGAGGATGAGCTAAATCAGTTTGTTACAGCCTACAAACAGAGCATTTGGTCCTTCTCCTACCATCTCCACCTAAACCCCCATGGAAACATCAAGGGAAAACCAACAAATTTTGCTTTTTCTTTCAACTTATGTTCTTAATAAATGCCGTCAAGTACCGTTCTAGTTACCTTGTAAAAGCCCCATAAATTAGACCACCAACTCGCGTCTACTATAATTATAAGTGGCATAATATCCCCTGGCCCTACGGAGACAATAAGCCTCCATCAAATGACACTAAGGGATCATCTAACTAACATCTTCCATTTTCTTAAAGATCCTTCGGATTAGCCCAAGTAAACTTCCGGATGGATAAAAGATGCTATGATTTGGATGATTCTAGAGCAGCTTTCAGTGCCTTATTGGGAACAAAGCCCCCCCCCCCCCCCCCCCCCCCCCCCCCNCCCCACAAAAAAAAAAAAATATCAAGAAGTAAATTGGCTGTTCCCAGAATTAATGATATTCGTTGACGAATAACCAGGAAGAGTAGGAAGCAATCATGCAAACGAATTATCAAACAGTTGGCTTGCGTAATTGCAAGAGAAGCATACACGATTTATCGCGATCTGGCTCCTGATCAATCGAACCAGAAACGAGCTGCTCCCTAACGCTATTGTTCGTCAGTGAAAGGAGAAAACAATATTTCCTAGTTAATACAGAAAATCAAGATTCTATGCTATTTGATTCTATTCTGTGATGAACAAAATGAAATTGGTATTTCGCCCTAGAAAAACCTATATATACTGTTACCATGTAATGCCGATAACAAAAAGATGAGCTCCTCATCGCTGCCGTCGTACTCTACACGGTCTCGCAGCCTGCGGTAACCGGCGACGATATCGTCCGGCAAAACCTTACACCGGCAAAGCGGACAGGTAGCAAAAAAGAGTTTCAACCAATTATCGAGGCAATCCTTGTGAAAAGTATGGTTGCATTGCAATTTCCGTACCATCTCCCCTTCCTCAAATTCAGAGAGGCAAACGGCGCACTGATCGTCCGAACTCGAGGTGACTTTCTTGGAGAATCGGATGGTCGGATTCTTCTCCTCGATCAATTTCAAAAACTGCGCCGTCGTAATTACGCGCTTGTCGGCGTTAGGTCTCAAACCGAAGATGGTGCGAATGAGAGTAACGCATTCGAGAAGTAAAAGGGTGACGAAGACTGCGGTCATTGTGTGGAGGTGGGAGAAGAACTCGGAGAGAGCTCCCATGGCTTCGGGATGGAAATTGGCGGATAGTTTCCACTGATTCAATTCTTTTAATTTTATAATCTTTCGGAAAAAAATCGTCCCTGCACTCCTTTCTTTTTATTTTCTTTCTTTTTCTTTTTTTAAAATATTCACTCCCGTAATTACAGAATTTCTGCAACCAACCTCGGTTCCATACACGTGGATTTGCTAAAACCGTGTTTTCTAGATAAGCCGGGATGTTTTTTTTTTTTTTTTTTTTCCTTTTCTTTTCTATTTTTTCTATTTTTTATATTTTTTAAATGGAACTTCCTTTTCTTTGTATTATTATCGTAATATTATTGTTTTCATCATCACAATAACTTTTATAATAATACTGTGCTTAATATAAATTATAGATTTCAATACTTCAATTATGTTTTTATAAACTTTTAAAATAGAACCATATTGTGTGCACTAACAACTAAGTCAATACACAAATGTGAGTATAACTTAATAAATTAAGGATTAATTACCATTTAAAAGATCGTACATTCTCATTCCTGTCTCAAATTTGTTAAATATAAAAAATAAAAAAATAAACATAAAGTCAACTAGTTTAGGTCCATATGGTTCAAGCCTCCTCACCTGCCTCTCAAATTGGCATATGTGTTCCACTTAATTTCTAGCCCCTATAGGAATTCAATTTTTCTCCGAGTTTAATAAAGTTAACAATTACACTCCAATCACATCCTAACTCCAGACACATTTGAAATTTTGATCAAGATATATATAGGATGACAGGACATACAGACATACATGTAACACTTGTTACGATAAAATTTGTCATGGTTTAAAACGTTAAAATTTGATTTATTATGGTAAGTTATTATATCCCAACTAAAAAATTAAAAAGATTATACCTATGGTCTGTCATTCCCAAAATATGGACATTCAAATCATGATTGCTTCCAAAAACTAGGAACAAGATTCCATTTATATCATTTAATAATATTTTTTACTTTTTTTTTTTTATTTTGTTGATATAAGCAAGTCAGCCCTAACTTTTAGAGCTTTCATTAAATAAAATTAAATGTAATGACTTGTCATTTTTCACCAACAAATAGATTGAATAAAAAAATACTCATATTAATAAAAATAATTGTTACTAAAGATATTAATTTTTGTATTTAATAATTATCCTCGACGGCTGTTGTAAAATAATTGAAATTATTAGTTTATTTTATTTATTATTGGTATTGTGGGCCGACAAAATGGACTGAGATAGGATCCATCGGACTCATTCGATGGTCCACAACAACACGTCGGCCCATCTTACCGAAATTACCGAAAATTTGAGTATTCAAACGCCACGTGGAGTACAATGATTGGGGGGTTTGGGCGGAAGAGGGTAGAGAAAATGGGTTTAAACCTAACCTAATCTTTACCATATATGGTTGAATAGAAAATCAAAGGCGGCGACAAACAGTAACAGGAAAAGGAAGAAAAAGGCAGACAACCCAATCTCATTCCCGATCTGTCTTAGCTTAATGCAAATTCCGTACTCCGTAACANTGGCGTACTACCCTTGATTATATTGTTTCAAATATGAATTAGTATATTAATAAAATGAAACCATATCTAATTTCATATAAATTAAGAAGATCCGGACATCAATTATTAAACCCGTCGCCACAATTTGAGTGGGACTTCCACCTTTGTTTTTTTTTTGAAGTGCAAATGTAATAATGACAAATCAAATAATTTCAAGATCTTTTTTTTTTTTAAAAAAAAAAATAAATTAAAAAGGGTATCTTCACGCTCCACGATTCAGATTGTGACCACCGAGTCTTATCTCCCCCGGATCTAATTTCCTTATTAAAAAACACATGGGCAGCACTTTATAAGTACCCGCCACTTACCAACTGACACGTCAGCACAGCTTTGCCTCGCCCTCTATTATAATATTTTTTTAGCTGACGTGGCGATCTTACACTCTCGGTATCCTGTGAGTGGCCGCACCAAATGGAAACCTTTTTTTTTTTTTTTAATTATATTTTTTACTTTTTTTTTTCAAGTGTCCCAAGAGCTTGGGGTTTTCCCACCGTTTTTCTCCGTCTATCTGTGTACTTCTAAAACCATCTGGTAAACGGTAAACGGTGGTTAGTTGTCTGTCTCTCAACCGTTTTCTCCGCGTTGAAATTAAAAAATTCCATCATTATGCATCTAATAATAATTGATTATTCTACTCTACGTTTCTTCCTTTTTTTTATTCTTTCCTTTTTTTTTTAATCTATTATTACTTGATTTTGTCATTATGATCCATTTTTAAAATTACATTATATAATTAAAACCCACACCCACGATACTAATGCTTAATCGTTGACATTATAATCAAATTAATGAATTTCATCTATCTTTGAAATTGGGTTAGATTTATATCGTTTGAAATTAGTTTTAATTTAGTTTTAATTTAGTTTTTCGCGAATATGATATATATATATATTCCATTATAAACTAAATATGGTATTTTGTAAATATACAGTTTTGTTTTGGTCCAATCCAAAGGAGGTACACGGATTGGGGGGTTTTCTGACCCCTAAGCTAGGGGGCAACGAAACGCGTAGGCCTCAACCAAACAAGTTTCCCACTATAAATACGAGACGGGTTTTGAAACCCACCGATTAAGCAAAGAAAAAGAGAAGCCCATAGAATTGTGGACACTCGATTCTCATTCATTCGATTCCCCCTGTAAAAACCATGTCCTCCATGGGAGCTGCCTGCGCTAGGGTTTACGTAATGAGGAAGAAAACGGAGGAGAAACTGAAGAGGATGGAGCAGGAGAGAGCTGGCAGGTTAGAAGACACCGTCAAACCTCCAAAATCCACCAACCACGGCGGCGGCGGCGGCATCGCCGGAAAAGCCTGTAAGAAAGTCCATCCCGGTACCATATTCGAGGTTTCCGCGAACTCTAATTCCTGAAACATAAAGGAATTGTTATTTTGGGTTTATTTTTAGCTTTCGTTTCTTTCTCCACCCCGACTTATAGGGTTGTGTAAATCTTGGATCTTCGTTTGGTGGTGTATTTGGCCAGAAATGAAAGTAATGAAGTAGAAATTATGGCTTCTTTTTGCCCTCCCTCCATTGAAGAAATCAAAACGATTCTGAAAATTTCTCAACGTTATTAATTTGTTTCAGCAATGAAAAGTAAGGTGAGGAGGGTAAAGATGTAAATACTCTGATAAATCTAGTTGTCAGTTTAGATGGTGTCCCAAACAAAACAAAACAAAACAAAACAACATAGTCATGGCTTCTGATAAGACCAACAAACATGGAAAAATTATGTTTTGGATAAATTCTAGCTTATTAGGCAAACACCCATGGTTGCCTTGTCCATGGTGCAAGAAAGTGGATGCAAACAAATGGAAATTTCTTCTTTACTTGCTATAGCTCGGAAAGAAGACGCACCCTCCCTCCCAAGGAAAAAAGGAATCCTTTTTAATTGGGCTGGGCCAGGGAGGTCAATTTTTCCCTCCTTTTACGGGATTATTATTATTATTATTTTTTTATTCATTTCATTAATATTTTGTCTACCAAAGCGATGTAAAATGTCGGTTAACCAGTCGGTGGCTTCTCTTGGTTCTCTTACGCACGGCTATTCCATCCTTTCCCTCTCTCCCTTTCAAGGCTTTACAGTGATACCTAATGAGCCATAACATATAATATCTATTGTCGAAAAATTTAGACGGTTATAGAGCGTGATAGCATAAAGCTTGAAAATTAATGGAAATCCCGAAGTAAGTTAAAACCAAACAGCAACCTAGAGGATCTTTGCCTTTACTTTAAATAAATAAATAAAAAGTGTTATGTAAATGACAAGTATTTAAAAATACTATGCAAGTTATCTCATTTAACTATTAAGGTCGTAAATACAATCACATACAACATATATCGTGACATGAATTCATCACTGTCTTTAGACTTTATTTTTATTTCGATCGTGGTTAGATGCATAATACATTTCTACAAATGGTTTATGTATGTGTACATATATTCACCAGATAAGTTCGTTAATATACCCCTTAAATCTGATGATGAGCTAACACATTCTCACGCTATTGAAACCGATAAAAAGGAAAAGAATGCTAGTAATATGTACACGTGTGTCCAGTTCATGAGGAAAGAAGTAATCCACGAAAAAAGATCTTATCTATTAAGATACTCTAAAAAAAAAAAAAAAAAGTTTTGTAATTAAAAATGGTAGTGGAATTTATTTATTTACAATTATTATAATAGTTGTGATTTTGGAGATGATGTGAAATTAATAAGATATCACTTTTGAGGGATTTTATCCCAAACAGCTCTTCACTTAACAACTAAAAAAAATAAAAAAGGAAAGAAATTATATAGAAAAATAATGGCTTGCCTTTATGTGACGCGACATGGATGGTTCCCTACTCGTTCAAATTGGGATGTCTGTTTGTCTCTTTCACGTGACATGGTCCCTACCACCTCACCAGTTGAACGTGTCTGGTCAACTTGGACGCTTTTAACACTAACTTTAACGTCTAAAAGATTTTGGATACATGAATATAAATATTAACATTTTTTTTTTTAATTATAAATATCAAATAATTATCTCAACTTCATTCTTAGTTCTTTCGGCCGAGTTGGGGTGATCTATCGAGGCTTTGCCAACCACACTTTCATATCGAGGCATGTGGGGTTTTTAAGTGAGCTCGAGTATGAAATAGGCCCCACCCTTTATGAAGAACCTTGTAATAGGGTTGGTGCATAAAATTCATTTGTGTCGTGATCTCTAGCCCAAGGTGGCTAATCTCACCATATGGTTCAATTTATCGAGTTTTTAACTTAGATCGGGCATGTCAAGTGATGTCTTGTGAGCCTTTTAACGCTTGGGAGGGTATCTTTTGCCCATAACATAACATCAATTACACTGGAATCATAACCATTCCTAAAGAATCGTTTTGGATGCATCGAATTTGCAATCCAAATCTAAAGCATAAGACCACCAAGTTGTACAGAGCAAACCCACCAAACTCAACCCAGCTCATCAACCTTCAAGTGCGAATATTAAACTCAAATATATTGGGC